GCGGCCCGGCGGTACCGGCGGCCGAACGGGACCGGCACCGCCCCGTCGGCCCGCCCGGCGTGAGGACAGCCCCGAGACACGCTGAGCCCGGAGCGGCTCGGGCCCGGCGGCGCTCGGAGGGGGACACCGGCCCCCGCGCCGGGCCCGCCCGATGGAGCAGCGCTCTGCCCCCGGCGCTGCCGCCCGCCGCCGCCCGGCAGCCACGGCAAACCCTGCCTCGGGTGCCTGGCCGGGGTGCATGGGCTTCCCTTCCCGAGACTCAGCTGCCCAGCTCTGCCACGGAAGCCCGGTGCCAGCTGCGAATACAAATCTAGCACGATGAACTGCAGCTCCTGCCCCACTGGAGGATCCCGGCCCAGAGCACGGAGCAGAGGGACCCTCGTGGCACTGCCTGGGACACGCTGACAACACCAGCCACGACGGGGATTCTGCCAGCACTGCAACCCCAACAGCATCCTCCACCTGCTAAGGGGAAGACTATTCCCATCCCCGTCTATCTAAAGATGCTGCTTCATCATCTTCCTATTTTCCACTACCTTCCAATGCAGGTCACTGACACGGCCTCCAGAATCACACCCTGGGAAGTGATGCTCTCAGTGTGGATGCAAACCGACAGATGAGAAAAAGCTACAGTCTTTTTGTAGGGACACAGTGATCACAACAACCAACTCCAGGGGAAGGAAAACACACCTAACAGAGCTAATGAGATTACAACAGGCACCCTGCGTTCTTTGCCAGGACACTTGAAATCATGCCACATTTTTAATCCCTGCGAGGGAGAGACAAACAACTACATAATTACTTGCAAGCACAAGTTAACAACTAAGTGTCTTTGTGGTAAACACAGATACTCATTTGCTTCAACTGCCTAAAACTCTGAAGTTTGGGGTCATCCTGCACCAGCAGCCACCACTCCTTAGAGCTTGGGATATCAGAAATTCGTGGGTTTTGGAAAATTGTTTTGCAACAAGTGTCCAGGCAAACCCGTTCGGTTGTTGCACGTGTGCCACACTTCCCAGCCGTGACAGATTAGCACCAAGAGATCTGAAAGCAGAGAATGTGCTGCTGGAGCCGTGTGCCAGCAGGTGCACCAGATCCACCAGGCATCCCTGCAGCCTCATGCAGGAATACCAGCACATCAGAGCGCTTCTGGAAGCCTAAACACATGTCCCAGCCTTCAGTCAAGGTGCACTGCACCTTGTCCTCCACAGACAAGAGCTGGATCTGCATCCTCCCACCATCACTCCTGCACTGCACAAAATGACTTGTGTTATTTTGGTAGGAACGTTTGTTCCCTGTGAGCCCTCAGGACAGGGTGCTTGCTGCCAATGCCAGCAAGAAGAGCTCTATCACAAAGCTGTGGAACAGCTCTAAGCAGAGTTTTCTCCTGTTCATCAACTTGGTAACCAATCCATACCAAGCATTGATTTTTCCAAACACCAAGAAGAGTTAGAGCAGCAAATTGATGCATTTTATGCGCTAAAGCCAATGCAAGTTAAAGGCCACCGCTTCCAAACAAGATATTTCACTCTCATTACACAAGCAGTCACCCCTAACAAGAAATGAGAGCATGAAGGCAGCACCCAAAATGAAAAGATGAAAACTAGCTTTTGTGCTCACATGTACTGACAATAGAAATATTCCTGGTAATACTCCCTGAACTATGTTTTACTCCCAGGTTTGTAATAAGTTTTCTGTTAGGTTTTGGACAATCACCCACTCAGAGAGAAATCCTGTTCCTGCTGAGGTCAGTGACACACTTGTGACTGCACTAACTGAGCCTGAATTCCACCCTTCCTTCTTCAGGCTGCCAGCCACAAAAAGAAAAGTATTTCTCTGAGGAGCTGATGCCTCGAAGGTAAATCTTGGGAACACAAAGGAATACTAGACGTGTATTTTGTATGAACAGTTACTTGAAGAAAAAGTGTTTTGTTATAGTTTGTTGTCTACCTGAAAACAGCCAGAAATGTCAGCTTTAAAAATAGCCTTTGAGCAGAAATAAAGCCTGATGTCATACCAGAGGTTTATCTTCAATATCTCCACTAAATAAAGGAAGATGTTAGCATAGAATTATCTGTCTTTATCTGCATAAACTGTTTTCTCATCACTTTGAAATTCTCTTGTGATACTCAGTCACTAAGGAGTTCTCAGTTAGCTTCACATGCTGGAAGATACACTGTCTGCAAAACCCAGCTGATCCATGTGATGTCTCCTTTGGGCTGTTGCTGATAAGATGGGAACAACTGCAACAAATCCAGAGGGAGAACCACAGAGACAGGACAGGAAAAAGATTGAACTTTTTATTGTTCATTTAATTAAAACTGATTTAGGGGTTGACAGTTTCTAGACCCCACCTAGCAGAGCAGTCAGTAATAAAGATTCTTGTGATCCACAGGTGGGTTTTAAAGTTCACATTTTGAATTTCAGAAGCATTTGCTACTTGTCTTGGGAATAATTGCAACATTGGTTTGGCCAAAGCAAAACCTTGTCTTCACTGAGTATCAGGATACAAGGATTGAAAGCAAATTAAAAAGTGATTCTCAGAAGAGACAGAAGAGAGAAATAACACTGAGAAGTCATTCCTTAGGAGGGTTTCAGAGATGACTTATTTGTATCCAGAGCTGGGTCAATGAAAATGATTAAGAAACAGCCTCACAAATCAATGGAAGGGTTATCTGGAAATGTCCAAGAAATTGAATCTGACACAGAGGAGACTCCTGTTACTTCCCCTTATTGCTATAAAGAAATGTACAGACAGATTAATGATGCATTTTTCCTCCTCATTACAGTCTTTGACACAAAAATAAGGTATCTCCCTGCACTGAGAATTGCTCCCAAAGAGGCATTGCTTTCATTGTTCCTGTAACTGGGTTTGCTGGACATCCCTGTTTTCTCGATCTCAATTCACACACATCTCTCAAAGAAACATGTAGAAAGCTGGGCAGGCAAAGAGCCCAGCACTGAAGGAGAAGATGGCAGGGAAGAATGCTATTTTTATGCTTAGAGCAAGTGGAAGCTGAAAACACCAGTCTCAATGACATGAAAACTGTCAGCAAGAACAGATAATTACACAACGTGAATTCATCCTCATGACAATGACTCTAATGAGATAGGAAATGGAATAAAATCAATATTCTATTTACACTGACAGGGCAGTCTCAAAGCTTGAAATTGCCAAATGGCTGTCTTTTAAATCAAGGAACACAAAATTACTGACTCCTTACAGTATTTTCAAAACACCTCTGCCAAACTCAAAGTTTACTAATAACATATCTCAATAAAAAATTTGGAAGAGATACAGCAATTACCCCATGGCACAATTGAAGGATATAATTATTACACTGTCACAAAATTAAGCTGAAACAATGATCTAATTAACATCTTGTCACACAACAGTACAGGATTGGATAAAAGAAAATATTCTTTAGTAAACTACAGCTGAAGAACCCAATTGTCACACTCTGGGCTGCACCCACTGCTCCCACAGGACAGCACGGAAAAGCAAGATGACTCCTCTTTCAATTTTGTACTTTTGTACGTTTCAGGAAAAAACGGGAGTGCAAAGGCAGGAGCAGAGAGCAGCCAGCTCTAGAGCAGGACTGCCAGGGTCGTGTACCCTGGGCTGGATTTCACAGCTCCCCAGCCCAGCAAACTGGGACTTGGAGCCTGGTAAAACTACAAGCACATGTTAGCTCTGAACTGCTAAGTGCCACACCAGATTTATAAAAAAACTGTCAACACTGCTTCTATGACCCAGATATTTTGCATGATATGCATAGTTTTAGTAGTAGTACTACTACTAGTGTTTTAAAGGCTTTTTTCTGTACTGTTTTAGCTCTGACAGACTTGCCTGGTGCAACCTCCCACTGACTTCAGTGGCTCCTCCAGCACATCCCCATCAGACATAGTTTTATCTTGAGTCTATTTCACAGTTTCTGAAACTGTTTTAGCAGAACCACCTAACTGTGACATTCCATCTGAATTTAAGACACCCAAGTGTACTGGGTTCATGAAAATTTGATAAATAATGAAAAAAGAGGCAACATGTTGTACACTACATGTCCCAACCACGTGCAGAAATCAGGTATCGCTCCAAGATTTCCCTGATCAAACTCTGAACCAATTCCCACCAGCAGCTCATGGGCACTGACGTACAAATCTCACAGCCCAACCCTCTCTTACTTTAGATTACAGTAATGCTATTTTCAAATCAGAAAGTTACACCAAAAATTCCATAAACCCTCTTTCCTTTAAGGAGCAGACGGTTATGGATTAACTGTTCTTGCTGTAATTTAACAAATATTCAAGTCAAGAAACATGCTGTTGGTTTTGGGTTTTTTTTAATAACCTGGGGTATATATCAATCTCTGTTACAAAATTCAAGACTTCAGGGACACACAGGGTTCAGTTTGACAGCATTAGCTGGGTGTGTATTAAAGAGCAAGAACATGCACAGGCCAGTCCCTGTCTCTGGACAAGGACGTGGCACACAAGCTGTTACTCTCTTCTTGCAACCTTATGCCAGGGACACAAAATGGGAAAGGACTACTTTCCCTTTAATCCACTTTTCATCAATTCATGTATTACAA